AGTCATTCTGATTCTCCTGACACCAAAATTATAAACGTAGGTGTAGTTAAATGCGCTGTTGAAAACGGTAATGACTATAGCTTGGTATCAGGCTGCAAAACACAGATCTGTACAATGAACCATAGCAATATTATGAAATACCATGTACATATTTTTCTTCTATATATGTTCCGCTGAAAAATAAAACAAATTAAAAGTAAACTAATTAAATATTAAACAACGTTATCATTTGTGCCCGCTTAAACATCCAGCAGGTTTCATGTATAATCAGTGTATGTTTTGTTTTATTAATAATAATTATCAATAATAATAATACAATATAATATAATATACACAGTCGCACATACGTAATAGTAAGTTTATAATGTTTTTTGTGTTTTATTTTATACAATTCGATTTTCATGCTTCCTTACTTTCAATAACCTTCGCATTTCAATTGTTCATTCTGGCATTGCAATTTAAATTGTCTTTGCTTATAACAATTTGAAAAAAAATACTTTAACATTGAATAATTTGATTAATTAATATAACCATAATATTATTCTTTCGCTACAGCAAAAGTAGAAAAAATTAGGAATGGAAATTTAAACTATATCTATATTTTCATTAAATCATTATAGGCAAGTTACAATTTAATTTTAAACTAACAAAACATATTTATTTATATGTAAAATACGACTTTAGGCCTTTTTGATAAAAGGTAAGTTAATATAAATAAATAACATTAGGTAAAAAATAATTGGTATATGTAACATGGTAACATTTTAACAAAAAATTAATATCAACTGTAGTCAATAGTAAAAACATGTTAAAGTTAAATATATTTGTTTGAAATAAATTCAAAGAGTTCGTGCATATCGTAGGAATTTTTAAGAATTAATTATGGGTAATAAAATGATTGATTGAATTCTGGTTAGAACAGAATATTTTAAAATAAGAACTATTTTGCTGAACTTACTATAATAAACTACGTTATTCCGAAAAACTTCATAATGCTTAAGAATATTAAATAAAAATATTTTGAAAATTATTGAATATCATAATTCTTTGCAAAATTCCTCTGAACTGCTTGTACTTGATTTCTATAGTCAGAAATTAATATAAAGACTAGATAAATTCATTATCTTTTTCCTTTGTACATATAATTGGCAAAACAGTTCATACAAAACGACCTGTCGAAAGACTTTCCAAAGTGTTTGATTAGTTTGAATCTTTAAAGGTTGAATGTATTAAGTATTAATATCATTAAATATAGTATTTTCATTTTTATCTTTTGTTAAATATAATCGTAAGGCTTGGTCTTGCATAACACTTTTCGAAAAATTCGAAAAAAATCAAGGAAAAAAATGTTACCGCTTCTACATTTTTTTTAATTAACACATTTTTTCATTCAAGGGCTCACGGTCGTTTATTATCCCACACACATTGATTTTTATAATAAGTCCAAAGAACTGATTTACAATACAAGTGAAGTTTACATAAAAATTAGTAAATAACCTCAAACTGATGACAATAACAATTTACGGCGGATTCCCACAAACTTAAAAACGGGTGTGACATTGATGCAAAACGATAATTAAATTATTGATATATTAATTATGATAAATGAATACAGTTCGTCTGTTTAGTTAAAATGCATGATTTAATCGATTAACATATGTATAATGTCATCATAACACAAAGTCGCGAATTATGATTACGAATACATTAAACTGCGAGCTGATAAATATTGTACTTTTTTTTTAAGTATAATATAATTCGAGTATTTCATCAAATTTGAACTCTAGACAATTTTAATAAAAAAGATTTATTCTTTTACGCGGGTATTAAAATTGATATCTTACAGTCGTTTACTCGAGGGAAGAGTTTTGTCCTGGGGTCATTTATTTTAAAATTTATTTAAAATATCTCTAAACTTTTTACTCGGCATATCAAATTTAATTTAATAAAACTTTACAACAAACAAATTTTTATAAAAAAAGAATAACTGGAGATAAAAAACAGGAAGAAAATTCTTATAGATGTTATGTAGAACTATAGCTTTTCTACAAAAGATGAAAAAACGTTAAAGACGCCTGTGCAATTATTCTTGTTTATAAGCTCACTTTTCAAAATAAAAGATATAACGTTACGGGAAAATACTTGAAACATGCAATATTTCTTGAAATAAATTAGCATATTGTATTGTAAATCCGCACTTCGTCAGTAGTTTAAACAATGATATACGTACAAGTAATATACACAAATATATATACTCGTTTCCAAAACACAAAGTAAGTTTTCTCTTGTTATATTTTAAATACGAAATATCTAGGCGATGCTATACATGTGATAATTTTGCATCCGAATATCATCGACAATCTTGCAGGAAGTTTAGTGATAAAATTTTAAAAATATCTTTAGTATAATGTTAAAAATTCTCAATCTTCAAATAATTTATCATTATCCAATTTATTTTTTTATAATAATACTATACAAGTTACGAAAAATAATACTGATGTTCACGAATTTTCGATATTATATTTTTATTCTAGAAGACATAATAAAACAAGAATGCCGACTGATATTGCCATAGATGCAAAATACTTTAGAAGAATTTTTCCTTGATTTGAGATAAAAAGTGGTGCATTTTTATCATGACTAATTTTTTAAAGATTTCGTTTACGATAACATCTTTTTAAACCTTTAATATCATTTTTCTTGCTCTTTTAATATTACGTTTTACACTTATATACGTAGGATTAAGAATATCTCACCTTTCATATCACTTATTAATATATAATATTTATACTTTATTTACACAATATACTGATGATATTAATAATATGGTAGATGGTAAATGGTTCTGAGATGCCTTTCTGATATATAAACATATAATATTGATTAATACTTTTTAAATATGAGTTCTTTAGATTTGTCTAAAAATGATAATCTCATCGTAAATCCGAGCAACATTTTTGCGATACATGAAAAAATAACTTTAGATTCTCGCGATCAAAACATTTCTCGGAATGATGAAAACATCATTTTTTGAAAAACCAAAATATATTAAAACAAATAAATGTTATTAATAAATTGAAGATAATATATTAATTTTAACATAGACTTGATTTCTTTAGTTAAGTTTATCACAAACATTAGACTCGCATATATTTAGACACTTCAAGTAATATTTTCTAATTAAGAAATGCGTGATAAGTATATGCCACTTATAATAGAAATTTAAATAGTTTTATAAGCTAGTTGAAATGATAATGATTAAAAAGTTGATATTAACTTATAATCTCTTCTGACTTAAATATTTTTATAATTAAAAAACAATAATCTTCAAAATATATCTTCTTGCTGCAGTGAATACAGTGAAGAGGTAAATCAAAATCTACACGAAAAAAATTCAAAAAATTATTGTTCTTTGGGATAAATTCAAACAAGAAATAAAATCAATACTTGATGTACACGTAATTAAAAATGCTAATGAACTAAAAAAGTTTTTAAAACGACTTTGCGATATCACATAAAATTATAAAAATGCTTTTTTATTTAGTATTTTAGCACTTTTAAGAGGTCTCGACGAACATATTTGGATTTGTGTTCTTAACTTTTTGTTGGAAGAAATACAACAATCACATATCTAATGTTAAATTAGTATAGAGTCATTTCAAGTATAATGCCAGTATTCATCGGTACTTTTCACGATACTTTTAGTAAGATCGTGTAGAAAAACCTACGATCGGTTTCAGAAATGTATTACTAAATTTCAGTTCGTTTTTTCATATCTTACATATGCCGAAGACATTAGAAATGCCTGCTGTAGTTCTTCTACAATAATGGAAGTAATAGGTTACGCGGAAACAAGGATTATACATTATTACATCAATCAAAACTTTACAGAGTTTTAGAACAGACGTTGAATACAAATAATTCAATTTTTATTTTGGCCCCTCCCTATTTGCCGCGATTAAAGTCCAATTTGTATTACGAACACACTTCATAACTCTAACACACAAAAAATTACCTCTTCCCAACATTTTGATTTTAGAATAATACTAGTTACATACATAATAATTTCTGTTTATACATATCGATGGTATTTAAGAAAAATAAAATCGTCCGCCGTCAAAATTTACTTTCGTGAATGACGACAGATCGATTTTTGTCAATGGTACACTGATTACTTTAAATTTCATATTTATCCTTAATTATTTAGTAATAGTTAATACGCATTTTTGAGTAAAGTTCCATTTATATAACTACATATATTTAATTTACTCTCCAAGAGTCCTGAACACACTGAAGTGACACTTTTTTGACTATACGAAATATTTAAAACTATGATGTATTTATTCCTTGTCTTCTAAATCACGTTTATTATTTGAACTGGCGTGCACTTGAAATATTTTTGACACTTTGTTTTAATTTTTATGACATCAGTCGAGACGAAACGGAGATTATAAATCTTAGTAATTTACACACACAAAAAATATTTGGCAGTCGCTCAAAATAATTTTATTCCTGAGTTATTTAAGTTAGACGCTAAAAAACTATAATTATAAACGTTTATAGGAATAAATTATATCAACAAATATTATATAATATATTTAAGTAACGGCACAAATTATGAAAAAAAATTGTGTACGTATTATTTATGTAAATCTCTACGTATACAATATTATCTTCATATATAAAAGATTGCAAGTAATACTTGCTTCCATAAAAATATCACAACTATACATAATCAGATTCAAAAAATCTGAAAATCGAAAAATGTATCAACTCATGATTATTTATATGCCAAGAGCACTATTGGCAACAAAAATCAAGGATGAACAGTATAAAACTCTATTCCATAGACGGTCATCAAAAATATTTGATATTTCATATAAATCATATTTAGATTTAAAGTGAATGTTTATACTTTTATGAGTAAAATTTGATTTGTCGTAATTTAGTAAAATTTCTTTAGATGAATCAAAAACTGAATCATTCTTTAATCTCCGTTTCCTATACTTACTTATCTGAACCAAGCCAATATTAGTATGGGCGCATTCCAATAGGTTTTTAAGATAGGTTTTAATCTTACTTTTTAAGTTATTTAATTTGCCATTGGAATATTTAATATAACGCACAAGAAGAGCGCTAACTTCAACCACCACAGAATTATATCCAAAATTACTCACTTTTGATTTTTTATCAATCTTCTTCATGGAAGAATTATCTTTAGCCACTGTGCAATTACACATTTTTTCAGAATCCAATTCGACGTATCTAAATTTTCTTGCCGGCATTGATGCAGCCGTTCGTCATACCACTGGTTCGTCCCTCATGAAATTAATGTTCTGGGATGCACACATGTCCTTCGTGAGTGGTAGACAGTTGAAATAGCCACATATTTCGCAATCGTGCACAGGAATCACGTAGAAAAGTACCACCAGAACTAAGTCAACAAAAACATTTTAATATGAGCAATAACATTTGCCCAAAAGAAATGTTTAAATTAAATTAAATTATTGACTATAGTTAAACAAGTATTAGAGTACTTTATTCAAGTACTTTGTAACATCTTAATCAAAGAAAATGAATGAACACAATTTTATCATTCTTAATTAATTATTTACCTGCAAATAGAGTTCCAGCGGCAACTAGGCACGTCCATATCAAAGCGATCTTCTTACGCCTATCGTAATTTCGACCCAAGCTGACAAACGGCATAAGGGCGTAAGAAAGCAAAAATCCGAACATAAAACCAAACAAGTGTGCGTAGTTGTCAATCCATGGCAATAATCCCACAGTAAACAATGCCCCGGTAACACCTAAAAGCTTAGCTAGTGCCACACCTGGACGGCGAAGCATCGGCCACGCGTTTAAGACCTCAACGATTAGGCAGGCCAAAAGGCCAAATTGAGAACCAGCCGGGCCAACCTAAAAAAATATCAAAATAAACATTGTTTTGTTTAAAAAAATACTTAAAATTTCATAAGCGATCAGAATTTATTACTAAGAGACATGAATTCTCTGAATTATATAAATAGACACATTATGTATTCTCAGTATTTTATCATAAATTATATACATTATCTCTTGCCTATTATTTTATAGTCAAGTAGAGCATATTTAACTAATGATTTGCTGTCACGTGTTTCCGAACGTAAGAACCATAAGAAAATTACTCACGATCACGATGATTTATAAAAGAAACCTTGAACCTTATCAAATTATATAATTAATATACCTCTGCCCTGTATGGTACGAAAATGGCCGACGCCAAGTTTCCAGCTACTCCTGAACCGATGTAGATTATCGCTATCCTTAAAGAGCCACATAATTTTTCTAGATCCCTCATTAATAAATGCTGAATAGCCCATGTTACTAAAAGATGTAAAATGCCAGCATGCAAAAACAACGACGTCCACAGCCTGTAAAACTGGTCGGGAGCGCCGGGCGTGTAAAATGATATCATGCCACATACATCGTCCAAGCAGGCAACCTGAAACAGTTGTCAGTTTAAGACTTAATCAATAAAATTTTATTCATATATGATTAGTTGTTGATATATGATATATGTGAAACTTTATCACACCTGTGAACAAAGCGACGCCTCTTCATGAAAATGCCCGCGTACAAAATCACAGTATTCCCTAGTTGTTATTCTGCAGGCACCATGGATTCCAACACAACAAGGATGACCAATCACTTCACAAACCATATGTTCAGCTCGGGCCAAACGATCTCTTGTGCCACCGCCGATTCGTTGGAGACCATTTGCAGATCGCGTGTTGCCTAAGACGATAAATAGGTTGAAATAGATTAAAATAAATAGAAAAACTACATTTTACTTAGTCACGAGTACGTAAAGAAAATGATACAATGAAACTCAAAAAAAGTTCAATTCTAACATCCTGAACTCACCGAGACCTGTTCTATGATGTTGTTGTTGTGGAAATGAATTTGTTTTTCTACAAATGGGCCATTGAGTTATATCGTCCGGCCATTCATAAGGAGCTACAGAAGCAGGCGCATCACAAAATCTATAATAGGCAATAAATATATTATATATAACATATTATTATATTTTAGAAATGGTTTTAATAACAAATAATTCTTACTTGGGATCCAGTCCACATACCGATCCCGATATACGACCTCCGGGACCAGAATCACCAGTTGACCATTTTTTCCATGTTGATATTATTTTCTAGAATATTCAAATTAATATTAGCACTCAATAATAGAAATTAATAATATGTATGAATGTATGTATTTATTATTAATTATTGGTTATAAGATTTAATGATAATTTACACAATTAACAATTAGATTTCTGTATAAATTATACTCACTGTAGTTGGCCTCATTCCGCGTAACTGCAGCATTAACACAAAATACGACTCATAAATATTTAAATTCATTTAAATATATATTATTTTTACGCTTTAATTTGAACGTAATTCTGAAGAATCTAATACATTTAAAAATTCAACACATTTACATAGTATTTCACAGTTTTTAGTACATCTTTGAGTGCAAAAACTAGTAATAATTTCTTACCGAACAATCATCTTTTGAGCTCTGGACGCATCCGCTGTCGTCGTTTCTTATACAACAGGCAGTATCACGTTCCTGCTGTCTCGTTTCGTCTATTCGTTGCAATATTCTAGTGTCCCTGCGCATACAAGGTGCAAATTTAGCTCCTAAATGAATGAGATCCGCGGCTCTTGGTCCCAACCAAAAGTTTGCAGGTTCCTGATAAACCACCTATAAGGAATTCATCCAAAATTTTAGTACAAAAGATTTTTATGCACTCAAAAATTATAAATTAATTAATTACCTGTTGCAAGCTTAGACTTGGCACGAGAACTTGTCCGGATCTATTTGCCAGGTCAAAACCAAATGGACCCAACCCGTAGCATATTAGTGAAATAATTAAAATTAATGTTTGGACTGTGGTCACCCAGTAAGTGAAGAAAGGCCTATGATCTTCTAAATCATCTAATTCGGAACGATGTCTTTCTATCGTTGAATGCCGTACCGCCTTACGTCTGTAAATGTTAAAGATAATTTAAGGTTCTGGACAAATTTTATATAAGAAATTATGTACTGTTATTTATAGATAAAAACTTACCCAAAAACTTTTCCAAGAAGTCCGGCTCCATACCGTCTTCTATCAGAATTGTCCCTCACGCCAGTCAGACTGGCCGAACTAATCCTGCTCGCGCCTCCTGCAGCAACCGGTCCTCCTGCAAGACCATAATCAGTTGCTGAAGTACGATATGCCCCTGCTCCTCTGCGCCAGCTATCAGCTAATCTTTGCTGAGCCCTGTCTCTGTCCCGTTCTGTGGGTGGTTGTCGCGGGGATGAAGGCGCCGGACTTGGCGTAGCACCGCCGCCACGTTGCCTATGACTTGCGTGCTCTATACTATCCTCGACTCCAGCTGGTACCACATCTCCGCTGTATGACACATGTCTAAAAATACAGATAATATATTAATATTCATCTTCGAAATTAAATACACACAAGAACAAATTATTGAACAAAAAAGTCAAAAATATAATTCAATTTAAATCAGTTTCATCACCTCGCTTGTCTGGTTCCACTATCAGTTGCATCTTTAACACCATGATGTTCAAAGAATAGTTCATCGTACATAGAAGCACCGCCTCCGGCTGACATGGCACCGCCACCATCAGCACTAGAGGCAAGCGAAACCTCCTCCGGCTGAAAACTCCTTGACCACTGACGGACTTGCGATCGAGGTCTAGGGCGATGTCGCGTAAGAGTCTGAATGAAAAATCTTAGTTACATATATAATAGATAGGATTATAATACTTTTACATTATAATTATTCAAAGACGTATATAATACATAAATACACGCATCCATTACACACATATAATATAAATAAAATTAAACATATAATCATTTCATATTTTACTTCTTGTGCAGTATCACTAATTTACTAATAAGTGATACTACTTATTTATGCCATCTCTACTAAGTTTTATTTGAATTGTCTGGATGAGGGTCATGTATTGCCCGTTCTAATAAATTATTTAACTTTCACACGTAGCGGATATTTGAACAACATAATTGAAACGGCTTCATAGGGGTGAAATTGAATGTTATATACAAAGTTAATTTTACTTTTGAAATTAGCAAAGTAGTTATGAATAAGCTATTAAAAAATATAATTCAAGCGAAATTTGATCAAATGCGTAAAATCTATGACTTTTATCTAGCTTACATTCACAACGTAGCTAAGCCCATTAAACGTAAGCCTGGCCACCGAATCTTTTCGTCTAACTGCATTGTTTCTCATTGCTACTCGATCTCCATCCGGTTCATCACCAGGTGCTGGCAGCACATCAGGTCGTCCGCGAACTCCTGCATCAGTCCCTGCTCCTCCATCCGTGTCGCATGCAGCATCATTCAAACCGCGATCACCAAGACCCGTATCCGAGAATTCGTCTTTCAGTCGGCCATAGCGACGAGATGCAAGACGCTTGCGGCGATCAAGCCAACGCGCCTAAAAAAATAAATACATCTAATATCCAACATACATATAACTTTATTAACTTCTACATATAACCAACAATCAACAAACAAAAATCATTTTATGATTTACAAAATAATGCATGATTTTGACTGGCATAAATTACTTATATATAAGGCTGTAATCAAACCCGTGTGGACCTACGGATTACAACTTTGGGGTACTGCTAAAAAGAGCAATTTAAACATAATACAACGAGCACAAAACAAATTCCTGCGGCAAATATTAAACGCTTCTCACTACACGCCAACATGGATTCTCCACAAAGACACGGGTATACCTACAATTCAAGAACATATATCAATGTTTGCCTGTAATTATAAGAATAGAATTGACGCACATCCAAACCAACTAGCATGCAACTTATACCAGGAAGGCCAGCCGACCAGGCTCAAAAGGAAAATACCTCGAGATTTATTATAGTTTATTTTTATTTTTTTTTCTCTCTTTATTTGTCTTTAGTTTTTTCTTTTTTATATATTAACTATAGTAGAAACACCACTGGGCGTATCTACTAATTTGTAAACAATCAATTGTAAACACTTGTCAGCATTCTCTGCTAAATATAATTATTTTTATAGATTGCAGAATGAAAATAAAATTAAAAAAAAAAAAAAATTGACTGGCATATGAAGATTTAAAATTAAATTATAACCTGTTGCTGCTCTTCCGTTGCTTCGTCCACGCCAAAGAACGAAGCTGTCTCCCGTCTTAAATAGCGTTTAACTTGCTCTTTTCTGCTGAGACTCCTTTCGACTCCCTGACTAGCACCAGACACTCCCGAAGGGCCTGTTCCAATACCAGATCTTGCAGCCGAACGTTCACTGAGCGCATATTGCACACCCCGTCTTTGCTGTTGCGGCTGCGGCCGCGCTGGCATCGTCATCGATCGTTGGACAGACGGCTGAACTGGTTGTTGTTGTTGCTAAAGAAAAACAGAAGTTAGTTAAGAAAATAAGAAAAAGAAAAGTAAAGAAACAATCATACAGGGCACAAAATTTCAAGACGATTAATTGTTGAAAATCTCAAAAAATTTGTATTTTGATTCAACCCTTATGGTAGATAGACTTCTGTAATTAATTAATTCGATACACGTGGTTTTCGTGATAGAAACTGATTCAGCCCATATTGTGATATGTAACTTCTCGTAATTTTTTTAATAAAGTTTAATATCTCTCACATAGTTTACTATTTCGGATTTTTTTTTAAATCGAATAGAATATGTATCTTTGACACAATTTGATGTGAAAATGATGAAGCAGCTAATTTTCTCTTTATAATTACATTGAATATTATTTTGCTATACTCAAGAATGTGAAAATACGGGTCACAGAAAATAAGTCATCCTATTTCACAGTTTATAATGACACAATAAATAAGTTCTCGTAATCTATCAAGTGTCCTATTAACTAAAGTGGGGTTGGCAGTCCAAGTCGCAAGATAGATATATAGCTCGGAATAAACCGTAAATAAAGTACATACTACAACTATTCGAACTGCTGAAGTTGAAACAAAAAGCGTTTGCAAATTGTCTGATAACTTATAGTTTCACTCCAGGAAACAGATCAAATAATACCACTAGATGAAGAGAATCATGTTCCTAATACAATGCACGCGAGAAATTTGATACAAGAAATGTCATATGATATTTTATATTCATACATTCTTTCAATTTATTGCAATATCAGAATTCACAAATGACTGTTTTGAAGAATTAATTTAGTATCATTGCATGAATTAGATAATTGTGTAATTTTCTTGAGTTTTAAATGATCTAGGTTCTACTTTAGATAATCGCGATAAAGCATAAAAGCTAAATAACTGGAACACAAAATCAAAGTTTTAGCCAATATCAGTTTTGGCACGGACATTTCTTCCAAGGAAGGTCAATTGAGTAATGATAAACTTAACGATACACGCTTCAAATGAAACAAATTTTAAGATACATGACCTACATTTAAAAATTGTACTTCATATTTCAAATAATAGAAAATCATGTATATCTGATTGCTATAAGTAAACTTATAGATTTTTGTGATTGGTATAAAATCATCGAAAAAATATTTTGAAAACCTTTTAAATTTTTGTTCAAATATTTGATATCAAGTAATATAATTTATGTAATGATCTTATATAATAGATAAAAATGACAATTATATTTCACATTAGTTAATAAATTTTGTACTCAACATATTACAGCAAAAATATAACTTAAGTAAAAAAATCAAACTTATAAATTCACCTGTATATTCTGCGCAGGAGGCATGTTCGACGCACTCAGCGTTTCCGGCGGGTGTTGCGTTATTTGCTGCTGCTTCTGAGTCATTGCTGCTGCAGATGGAGCTGACACTGCTACCGTGGGCTGGTGACTTGTATGGGTATGTGTTATGGGCGCAGGTAAAGGAGCAGCGATGAGTAGAGGCGGCGCAGGTCTCCTGTAAGTAATAAATATATGTAAAATACACTATAATCTAGGAAAACATATACTCTTTTATTAAAATTGTTTCACTAGTGGCTTCAATTAATACAATTCTTAAAATACATATATTATTATGTACACACAATTATAGGTTGCATCTATACCCGTTTTATTATAAAATATAGTCAATTAAATATATTCAATATATGCAGATATAAAAGCATAAGAAATTTTCCTGAATGTAAATTAATGTCACACATTACTTATATGAGCTGGATTGCCATCAGCTCCTAAACAAACTTCATGAATGCATATTAATTTCAACCTGAGATAGTTCATAAGAAAATCGACTATTCAGCTTCGCAAAAAGTTTTCAAAAGCAAAACCCTGTTGAAACTTTCCCGAAAAAGACGTCCTTAGTCCTGTTCTTAATAGATAAACTTGTACGAACACTAGATGGCAAAGAAAATTTCACTGAAAATCGAGGGAAAATATAAAGTTTTGTTAGGATTTACGTAATTATTTGAAATAGAGCTTAAAGACTGTTCTAAAAGGGAGAGTCACATATCCACAATGGGAAAGAAAGTAGAAAGTAAAATAAAAATTTCTCAGAAAGGATTACAAGTTTTGAAAGGAAGAGGTTTTGTTTGAATAATTGGATTATAAAGAAGCTGCCATATGACATCATAAGTATAATATTGTAACATAAACTAGTTCGGTGTATGGCATCGTGCCTTAAGGCAAATTGCTGGAACTTCCCGTACCGTAACGAAATGTTCGAGGAATACTGAATGTTTTGAAATAGATTATTATTAATATTGTAACATTGTCTAATATTTATAAGAATTATATAAACTGAATTGCAAAGTTGAAATTATTTGTTCAAAGTATATTAGAACTTTAGTCAGAATTAGAAATAAAATCTGAATTATTTTCGATATACAAATTTTTTTTAAAAAAAAAAAAAAGTTGAAACAAAAAATTTTTTTTTTCAAAATCAATTATTTTGTTAAGACAAGCAGAAAGTTTTTTTAATCATTTAAATCGGACGCTTAGTTCTCTTAAAAACTGCTATTTTTTACATATTTAGCTCCGTATCTTCGAAATGTCTGGGCCTGCCTTTGCCAAAAACTAATAAACACTTCTCCCAATCATTACTTATTGAATGTTTATTAGATCATTCAAATCGGATACTCCGTTCTCTCAAAAACTCGATTTCTATTTTCTGCACTCTTTGCTCCGTATCTCCGAAACGGCTGGACCTGCCTTTGCCAAAAACTGATCAGCTCTTCTCCCTATCAATAGGAATCGAATGTTTTTTGAATCATTCAAATCGGTTGATCCGTGCGCCCGAAAACGTGACAGGAAATTTGTATCCATACATACATACACACACACATCCATTTTTTCTGAGGTATGCCAAAATGTTCAGAAACTTTCAAAACGTCGAGAAATGTAAAAATTTTCAATTTCGATTTTCGGCCCATTACAGTAACTTACCCTACGGGAAGTTAATAAATTAAAATATAAAAATAATGTAAGTGTTTTGATATAATATATATTTTTCATAATATCTTGCTCTGAGAATTATTAACTTTTTCAAATAAAACCCAGAAAAATTTCACGCAAGATAAAATATAACATAAATGTTGGCACAACCGACATACCCTATAATATTACCCCTAAAAATATTATCAAGGCCGTACCTTTTTCTTGATCTTTTTTGTCATGTAATAATTCATATTATATTAATATCATCAGTTGCGTTATTACGCTTTAGCGCCATAACAGCCCCCGTCCGGCAAAGTAATTGAATGGAGAGTTGAAAGCTTTCCGGTTTGACGGTTCCGGTTTCCCGGCATCCGGTTATTAACCGGTTGCTAATGACACTCATATACTTGCTCAGAAAATGCTCAATATGCAGCAGCTGTACCCAAGGCATAATATTAGATGAGGATATATAAATATTTACTTTTATCAAAATACAAAAGCTGACTTAAAAATACTAAGATTTTTCGATAATCGAAATACAGTCTTTCTATGAACCTCCAGTAGTAAGCATTGTAATTTGATTTTTAGTGATTGTTTTACAAAAAATACGTTGTCCTGTACCCATGTCTACAATTTTTTAATATAATATACTAATATTTACCGTTTACTTAAAAATAATAATTATTGTTTTTTAAATTACGCCAAAATGCATATACATTTATAATAAGAGCGATGTTAAATGTAGAACTGCTTTAAATGAAATGATGAGTCTCAATTCTCACACTATACTGGAAATTGAAGTCTTTTAAATAGTATAACATAACCATAATCATAACCATAACATAACACTGGTACTTCATGTTGGATTAAATTAATTTAATTTTTTATTATTTAATATATACAAAATTGCAGTGATATTTTTACGAATTTTAAAAATATTGTGAAAAGATTAGTAAAAAATGCAAAGAAGTTATATATTGAAAAAAAAAACTATATTGAATATTTCATATGCGAATCTTGTGTTGGCACCCCCCAGCGCTCGTATTTTTCGCATGCATCGCATTAAAGGTAGGATCGGCCCTGATTAATACTTAATTTCATAATTTTAGTGAATTAATTTATCATATCTTGTTCATATGTGTATCATTCAATCTGCCATACATATACTGTATTTTATATTATTTTAATTTCTGACACATCTCTGCTGCTTTTTGGCAATAATGATGTAGACATTTTATTTTTCTTATTCATAATCATAAATTTATTATACATATATTTTAATATTGTCTAGGTTCATAAGTAAATTAAAATTTTTGGCAGATGATGTAGTTTTCAGTGCAAACAATGACATGTCGTTTTTAACAATTTTTCCCATTTATTTTTACAATATTGCACATACATCCCAGTAATTTATAATCACATACATCCTAGAAAATTTGCTTAACAAACTTCAGAAAGATTTAAATCAGAAATCCGAATAATCGTTTAGAAGGAGTATGAACTTTATATATTAGCAATAAAGCTCAAATAGATTCTACGTTTTAGTTAGAAAACGTTTGTATGAGAAAAAGAAAAGGGCTGTTTTAGGGTTTTTCCGGCAGTTATTCGATTTTTTTCGCCATAAGAACCATCCTTGGACTTAAACAAACATTTTAAAAAAATAATTGGCCAAATTGGTCCAGGCGTTGTTGAGTTATGCGCTTACCAACACATTTTGCGATCCATTTTTATATATAAGATATGCATCAATTTATTTCTCGCTTCTGTTACTATTAATCCATTTATATATTTGTTTCTACGATTCTAATTAAAGGCTTTCCCACAACGCTATTTATGTAAACAGCTTAAATTATCCTTTCATGCTGCCTTATAATTAACAATACTTTATTTAAAGTTAAACTCTCAACACTGTGCAAACGCAGTTCGCAAAACGCGAAAAGTGCAGCGCCCGCATTTTATAAAAATATGCAATATTTATAATTCCTTCGAAATGGATCCAATTTGCGGAGTAAATATTTTCCCAGCACTCTGTACCACTTACCGTCTAAAGCTTTATTAATTTTAGGTACATGTATTTGCAAGTTATTTACATACAAACCGAAGCATATTACTACGATCGAAATGGACTGTTGAATAAAAGATGTGATAAGAATTATGTTATGTTGAGATCATTGCCATTATAGAAATATTTTAATTGACACTTTATATAATTATTAAACTCATGATTGAAAACCAACACTAAACATAGATACCAAAAAGACACAATAAAAATTCATTGAAAAAAATGACTAAAAACCATAGTAATAACATGTTTCCATTTTAAAATAATATAAAACCTCTCTTAAATAACAGATCTTATGGTTTTTCTGAACATTTTTTTTAAATATTATGGTTCTCTTAAATTAATTGAATCATGGTTGCTCTTAAATGCATACAGCTATTAAATTTTGAGTTTATGAGCAATGTTTAGAAAATAAATTTTAACTTTTTAACTCTCTCCTCAATGAATTTGATGCGTGGTTCTTCAAGTAAACTTATCCAATTATACCTTCTCATAATTTCTTTCAACTTTAGATATTATAGCGTCTAAAGTAATATGATATATATATATATATATATATATATATATATAATAAATCTAAAATAGGGCACAGATAATTCTCGTGATAATTTCCCTTTGCGATAACATCTTTTACGCCCGCACTTTCGATTAAATCGAAAACGTTTTTTCTTGTTCCCTTGAAAAAAAACTGTCCAGGATCCAGATCCTTAAAAACCCTTTTTCCGGATGTGAAATAATGCATCCCTTTCGAGCAAGCTACGTTTGATTCTGGCGATTTATAAGGGGTAGGTTTTAGCACAGCCCGCCCTTCCGCAGAATGCGGTTTACCCTTCGTTTTTCAAGAACTCCCCGCGTCGTTCGGACAAAATACGGACTTTTCTTTGATGCGGAAGAGATGTAAGCAGGGCTCAGTGATGGAATAAAAAATACCTGCTTTTAAATATGTATGTACCTGTATAATGACAGAATATAAACTCTTCTTCTAACACTTGCCTTTGAAATTGTAATCAATTTACTCTATATTTAAAAAATCAACCATTGCAATAATCAAACGTTTTCTTCTAAAATATAAACCAAATGAAATTTTGTTGTAAACTGTCTATCTGTCTCAAGCTTTCAATATGTACTTCTCCAAATTTCTCATGTATTCCAGCTTTATTTTACTCTGATTTTTACTCTATTTTTAATCTGAAGCTATATATGCTCCAAATTGCATTGCTATATATGACTTATCACATTTTTTTATAATATGGATGCATAAAAAATTAAAATCATAAATATTTTTCCTATGCCATTAGCTGCTGACCTTTTGACCCATTTTCATTATTATTGAAATTACAAATATTTCAATATTCTTACATTGAGCTTGCAATAAACTCCTGACCTATTTCCATCATTGTTATATACGCACATAATA